GTTGTTGGGGAGCGTTTGCCTACTGATCACCTGAAAAATGACCGAAAACTGCCGTCACCAGGGATCGAACCGGGGACCTCTGTGGAGATCGGAAATGCTGAAACGCTTTGTTTGTGAGCATATTCGAGTGATTGTCCCTTGCCCCTGTACGACCTTGTAATCACCATCGGTGGGTGTTTAATGCAGTAGTGGACGTATAGGCGGCTTCGGAACCGAAGCCCTGGTAATTTCGTGGCGCAGCGGTCAGAATGAGCAGGGTTCAGATCTTCGGCTGATCTCAAGTGGATAATTCCCGTTATGGCCACTACCACAACAGCAGTCGCTTCCTCCACCAAGGGGGAGGGAATGACGGCAAAGGAGGTCCAGACTAAAGTACAGCAACTTGATAGAGAGCGCAGTGCCATCGTTAGCAAGATCGCTGAGCTCGAGCAGGAGTCGAAGGAACATGGGTAACGACCATAAATTGACAATGGTGCGGTAGCATAAAATTTGACGGCCTCGGGGATGTTCAGGTTGGTGCTGGGAGCCTTCGATAAGGTGCCGGAGGATCGACGATGCTATCGACTTGTTGGAGGAGTTCTCGTAGAGCGGACAGTGAAGGACTTCCGGCCAGTCGTGGAGGATAACAAAGCCAGGGTAGTAACAGAGTTCATTTGGTGGAGTGGTATTGGCAGTGGTTGGTACACTGATGGTCATGAGTTCGATTCCCTCAGATGGACGAGGCTTTGAAAAGTCTGAGTGATATGCTGTCTGAGAAGACTAAGGCCATGGAGGAGATTATTGAGAAGTACTGATGGAGTGGTATTATACCACTTTATTCTCTTTTCCCCCGAAGGTACGGTACGCCAGGCCTCACCGCCGCCAGCAACGTTGAGGGTAAACGAGGGGAGGAGGAGAAGGCAGATGAGGGGGCGAAATCTGCGGCCCCTTCGGCGGGGGTATTAGTGTGAACAGTAGTGGTCGTTTCAAGTGACTAGCATAGACTGTTGCGCACGGCGAAGATTTGCATTTATCTTTCCAGTTGAGTTTATTTGCCTTTCATATATCCTCCTTCTATGTCGGAGGGTGACGAGCGGCTGAGCCCCTTGGTCAAGAAGGTTGATAAACTAATCTCCAAGGTGAGGCAGACCTGGGAATCTTCCGCGTGCGCAAAGATACGAATCTTGTATCATCCAGATAACCTCATCCGGCCAGCACTCATCATCGAATCTCATCAACGAGGTCGGGCAGGTCTGTGTGGAGCTGACGCCGTCGAGGGATCAGTCGTGGAGGGCTGCAAAAAGGGTCCTTGCTGTTGGCTCTATAGAGAACAAGGGCTACCTCGGTGAGTGGGACAAGGCAGTGTTGAAATGTGTGTCCGCTTTCCTCAACTGAGCTCAGGAGGTCGGGTAGAAGTGTACAAAAACCAACGAGAATTTCCCGAAATTTCCTCACAATTTTTATATTGTCACCAACATTTGTGGTTGACCATGCGCGTATCTTTTCACACTCGGCCGGAAGGTAGTCGTCGTACTAGTGCTATGGTCTCAGCTATGTGTCTGGTGGACTCCATCGTCCGTCACGAGACTAAGCATAAGAGCCCGGATGCTCGCTGCTCCTTTGCTGACCTGTTCTCGGATCATGTCTGCCGACTAACCCGGAGGGTAAGGTGCAGTGCGCAGCCGGAAGAATATCTTTTCATTGCCAGGCACTGTCAGTGCATGCGACCGACAGCGAGCTTGGCAGAATGAGTAAGATGATCCAAGGATGGGTTGTCAAGAAGCGTTTCGATTCGGGGGTAGGCCGGGAGGGCAGGAGGGGGGGAGGGGCTCTGCTGACGAGAATACGATTTTGAAATTTCCAATATATGTGTTCGCAAGTAGTCGGAATACGCTACCAGCGCCTCGTTAGAGATCTATAGTGACTATGGCAATATGATGGGCCCGATCAAGAGGCATGTGGGCATTTAGGATGGTTGTAGTGTTGGTACTTGTAGTGGAGTTAGTACGAGTAGTGGGAGGAGTGGTATTGATTTAGCAGGACTCTGCCATGGATGGAATTTCTGATTCGTTGGATCGATCAGGTTACGAAGAAACTGAAATCCCTCGTTCCTGATGCATCCGATGCTCTCCACAATGGCAGTCACCGGCGGCGACAGTCCAAGCGTAAACGGAGAAGTCGAGATCTCGATGACGGCGTGTCACCAACGGTGTCACCATCCAGGGTGGGCGGCGGCGCTGTGCTCCATCATGGCCTTATGATCGATCAATTCCTGCGAGATGATGATGACGACGATGACCAGCTTCGGTCGGGTGGAGAGTCTGTGAGGCTGGAAGAGAAGGAAGATGCAGAATTGGTTACTAGGCCGGCGTCCCCATTGCGTCCTCCTGCCCTCGATGCGAGGTCGGGCAAGGAGGAGAAGGATAAGGGGAAGGAGCGGCCGTCCTCACCAGGGGGAGGTTTCACCAAACCACCTGAGGCCGGTGATGCCTGGACGAGTTCGCCTCCTGCTGGTGGCGTTGAGGAAATGCGAGGGAGTGCAAGAGGAGCAAGAAATGAAGAGCGGGATAGTGGTGGCAGTCACCGAAGGAAGGAGTCTCGACGGGGGTCCAGGAGGAGCCGATCGCGGGATCGAGGCCATCGGGGAAGAAGTCGGTCGATCGAGCGCAGCAGTAGAAGTGGTAGGAGTCGTAGTAGAGATCGTCACCACACGTCTGGTCATCGGCGACCTTCGAGGCATGAGAGGTCTCGATCCCCTCCAGATGCTGCTGGTAGTAGTAGTAGCAGGCACCGCAGCTCATCTCATGGGCGACGATCATTTGGTCGTCACGCCGATAACGATGTTAATGTGGAACTACCAAAAACGGTACCCCAGCATGGCGGTTGGGATGTGCCTCCGGTACAGCCACCACCACCTTATTCGGCCCAGGGCTTTAACAACCCTATGGGGGGCTTCCCTCTGCCTCCCCCTACTGGTGGTAGGCCGACCCCGCCGGGCCCAGCGTTTGTCCCTCCCCAATTCCCTAGTGTGATGGGGATGCCCCAGGCTGTTTTTGGTGCCCCTCGACAACAGCCGTTGTATACTATCCCAGCCGCTACTCCTTCTCCTCCCCCTCCCCCGGGTCCTGCATTTGGTCAGGTATGAGCGCTCCCTTTGTGCCTCCTCCGATACCACAGCCGGCCCATCCGGCTCGGACGAAGGCCCGGCGTTTCCGTGCGACCCGCGATGACTCAGCGACCCCAAGGGGTCAATGTGGATGTGACGACGGCGACGAGGAGTGGTGATGATGATGACGAGTCGAGCGAGATGGATATCGATAGCCCTCGGGTGGTGGGAGAGAAGGAAGAGGAGGAAGTGGCGGTGGTGGTTGAAAAAAAGGAGGGTGCAGGGGTCGAACCTGTGAAGGATGGAGGTAGCCCGACTGCGGCAGAGGATGCCGACGCACTGGACAGTTTAGGCGAGGTTTCTAATCAAGAAGGGAGGCAAGGGGGTGAGGAAGAAGAGGAGGACGAATTTGATTGGGATTGAGATCGGCGCATCCTGTTAGTAGGGGCAGTATGTGAGTGCCATATGTACCATTGTTTGAGGATTTGGCAAAGGAGTGGTATGGATGATGATAATAACGACTGAGTCGTACGGAGTTACATTACCTCAGCATCGTCTTGCCGTTGCAATCAAATAGCATTAACGTTGATTATTACCTTTGGTGTCGGCGGTTCAGCAGTCTGTTGCTGGCGAAATTGTACCTTATTCGTGGACTAGCAGTATCGAGTTGTTCAATCACTGAGGGCAAGTGGGTATTCGAAAGATCCCGGGTTCGATTCGCCCTAGTTGCTCTGCAATATGGCGTCGAGGGGTTGCGATTTGAGATGGATAATCATATGACCTCGTGTGGGAATCGAACCTTCGGCCTTTTGGTCCACAGATAGGTCTGATGATATTACTAACTTACTGGAGTATCGAGCTTCTATGTGTTCATGTTTGCTATGTCTCCTCCAACCAGAAGTCTTGCGGGTTCTCGTTCTTCTCATCAGGTTCTGTTATGGAGACCCTGAGGGGGGATCTAGGTCGTTCATCAGGGAGAGTAGTGATATGCATGGTGAGGGCTACTCAAAGGGTGTGGGTGCGACTTCAAGAGGAACTCTTGAGATGGTATGTCGACTGTGTTATATAAAAGTACAGATAGTAGAGCGGAGCGAAACCAGTGGCATAATTCTTCGTCACAGGCAGTGTAGGAGAATATGCTCATAGTTGTTGACAATATGACAATTCTGAGGGAATTCTTGTTGGTTTCTGAACATTTCTGCCCGAATTCGTATATAAACTCCTATTATTAGTTTAAGAAAACAAACATATATTCCGCCAACACTCAGCACAGCCTTCGGATCTTCCTAGTCTTGGTATTCGTTCATGGAACGCGTAGACACAATAAAGCGGCCGCATATTATGTGATTGCTACGCCTGGCAGGGTATTTTGGTGACCAGAGATGTTCCTAGGCATGTAGTCTTGTAATAGTCGAGGCGGCCATAGTTTCAGACCGTAATTGTACTTTTGCAGCGGACGTTCAAAAGGGAGGTATCATATCTTCGAAGGAGTACACTTTACAACTTTTGGCAGCATTCTTGATCCTGGTGACTAGAATCTGGTCACATTTCGGGGCTGCGCGACTTCAATATCATTGTTAATTTCGCTCACACAAGTCTGCACTCATCACAGTTGTATTCTGGACGCAACATTGTCTCGATTTCGCCTCTGTCGAAGAATCATCACACTTCGACGAGACGAATGCTGTGGCAGATTACACATGGTAGCGCTTTGCACGCATGCGCAGCCCAGCCGTCATCGTGTGGCAGATGGAGCCTTGTAGTGTTTATAATCTAGTTTCGTTGACGGCGTGGAAACAAGGAAGATTCGAGAGCCATTGTTCATAGTATACTCTTTATATCTTCTTGTTTCAAATTTCTTGAAAAATATGTTTCTTCAAATTCATTAGAAAAGAGCGTCTTAGAGGTTATCGGCGTTTGAAACACTTGGCGTGTTCAGTACATTCTCCTGATCGCTCCCGGGATTGGATTCCTCGTGTATTCAAGTCGATCCTGGGAACGCTCTTGAAACTCCAAAGAGGCGTATCGAACAGATCGACTGTTACGCTGCATGTTGGTGCTATCAACATGCGACATACCAGTACTATCAACTTGATGACTTTCTTATGTATTAAATTCATTGCATAGCCGTTCATACGTCGGCGAATTCAGCGTCGGACAATTTTCGGTTAGTGGGAGGTTCTCGTATATATTCAAGTTCATCCGATCGAGAGAAGCTCTGGTGTGTTTGAGCCCATACAACTGTTCACTTCGAAGGTTTCAATTATTGACTTCCACCATACTATCACAATACGATGTCCCTTCATACTACCCTCACGGCCAGCCGATGCGGCCCGCTCGGCCGTTCGGAGCCTTTGCTCGGCAGGAGCGTCTCGCTGCCCGTCGACGGCCGCGTCGGGGCTGCTAGAAAAGTCGACCCTCCCGTCGTTGACCGTCTCTTTTCTTCTCCGTTGGAGCAGTACAAACGTTTTGGAAAGAGACCGGTCGCTATGGCAATCAATCTGATGCTGGCGGCTATCACGTTAGCCGTCGCGGTCGAGTTCATCGATGCCGACGTGCGCCATGCATCCCAATCACTGCGCCATTTCTACGGGGTACTGGTGGCTAGCAGCGACAACCCAGAGGAAAACGGCGGTATGCATCACCGTGAAAAACTGATGGACTCTCGCACTGACCTGGCGAATGCTCTGGTGCGCTTGGCTGAGTCTTCCGGAACAATCTCCGAAAGTGCGACCAATCGTTATAGAATCATAGAGTCTCCACTCCACCATGATGCCTTGAAGTTAACGGTTGTATTTGACGCTGGAGAAGAACCCGTCCAGCTCAGTCTGCCTAACGCCACGAATCTTGACAAAGTGAGAGCTGCTCTCAAGGACGACCCTACCTTCGTGCCAATCGGCGAACATGAATTTTCTAAGTTGGTGGTTCCAGTGATGGTCCATGACACGAAGTATAAGGACGAGCATAAGTGTTTGGAATGGTCGCTGATGCCCACTTTCGCGGACAACGGCAACGGTCAGCTCTCATTGCGACTACCCTACCACGTCTCCAGCTGCTCGGGAATGCGCCTCCATCTTTGGGCCATGTGTGCCTTATGGTTCATGCTGCTCTGTGCTGTAGCGAGTGCGGTGATGAATCTGTCTGGTCTCGGGTACCGTACCAGGGTTATCCACACTTTCCTGAGAGACTCCACTGTGCAGGATAAGATTACAGTCATGAACTTGTGGTTGCTATTCTCACTCATCGGCAATGCTGTCCAGATGGTCGCTGTTGGCTACGCCTTCCTAGTGGACCGACCGGACATATATATGAGGTTAAATCTGTTTGGCTTCAGCGCGGCTCTCGCTCTAGTGAGTCTAGTTCAGTACTTGGCGCATTTTCGCTCCCTCTATATCCTCTACTCTACTCTGGCTCATGGCATCCCACAGATCCTCAAGTTCTTGGTCGGCGTCTTCCCGGTATATCTGTCGTTTGTTGTATGCGCGGTTTGTCTGTTTGGCTTTCACAGTCACTGGTTCGTCAGCTTGGGTGACTCGAGCAACGCTTTGTTCTCACTCTTGAATG